GCTGCCTGCTGGGGAACCCTGGGACCCCTGTGCCTGCGGGGCAACGGCCACAAACAGCTGTCGCCGCCTTTTGACGCCAGCTGCGCCAAGCGTGTCGTCGTCCGCCAGCTTCTTGCCCTGGAACACCGTCAGCAATGGCTTGCCCGCGCACGCCGCACCCTTGCTTGCCACGAGCGCCTTCACCCTCCGCCACCGTCGTTGCGTCGCCATTCTCGAGCGTGAACGTAAACGTCCCGCCCGGCAGAACCTGCACCGTCACTTCCATGCCTCTCCCGTCTTCTGCTCTCCACAACTTATGTCTGCTTGTACCCGCCTGCTTGCGGGTGTGTGAGCTGTCTGTCTGTTGATAGTGTGTGTCGGCTCTTTCTGCTGGCTGTTGCGGTCGATAAGGCACTACAGTTTATGGTGTCGTTCAATTTTGGCGCAGCGCAACTATGAACGCGACGGCCGTGAGCAGCAGCAGCGGAAGCAGCAGCGGTGGCGGTGGTGGCGGCATTGGTGGCAGTCGGAAGGGCACGTCAAAGGCATCGTCATCAGCACCATCTGTGTCTGGGACGGGGAATGGCAGCAGCAGCAGTACCAAGAGGCAAGCCAGCCGTGGTGCTGGCGCTCATGGCAATGTACACGATGATGGCGAAGTGAAAGCATCACACTCGGCTGTGGTGGTGATGCCAGAGCAGGAGCACGCACACCCAAAGGTGTACGAGGTGAGCAACCGCTGAAGGCATGAGGGGGGTTGCGTGTGCGTGTGCTCTTGTGTGGAGGGGAGAGTGCACACACACACACACACACGCGCACACACACACACACACACACACAAACAAAGCACTCATCATCATTGCATCGATTGTTTGTGGTGCGCCTTGACAGGTGTACACGGGCAAGTCCAAGTTGTGGTGTGGCGGCCGATGCATTACAGGCGATAACTACGGAGCAATCATATTCAGCTGGATCATGATCTTGCTTGCCTCAACCCTCTTCTTCGTCTTTACGTGAGTCTCAGCTTTGTTGCTGTTGCTCGTTTGTTGTTTGGTTGTTGGTGTGTTGGGTGTTGGGTGTTTGGGCAGAGTCATGTCATCATGCACGTGTGGTGCAGGTTTGTGCGTGGATGTGAGTGTACTTGGGTGCCTGTTTGCATGTCATTCACCTTTGCGCTCGGTCTCTCTCCCTCACGCGATGACAGGGCTCCGTTCCTATGGAGGGATCTGTCTCCAGCGGTTGTGATCATCTGCGCGTACCTCCTGTACACGGTGGTTGCCAACCTCCTCTGGGCAGGCCTCACCGATCCAGGTCGGTTGCGCGCGCTTCTGCTGTTGAACGCAGGCATCTGTGTGCGCGTAAAACGTGTAGTCATGCGTCTGTCAACGTGCGCATGCAATGTGCGCCACACACACACACACACACACCAAACATTCACACGCTCAACAATGACGGCCGTTTCAATGGTGTCTCAACCAATGTCATATTCAGGCATCTGTCCACGTGCGCTGCGGGAGGAGGGTGACAACATCATCCGTAAGTCCACACAGCTGCTCATATCTCACAGCCTGCTTCGTGTACCGGCTGTGCAGCTGCGTTTGTTGTGGTGCAGCAGCAGCTATTGTCCTCACTGGTGTGCTTCCACTGCCTCTGACATATGCGCTCATGTGTTGTTGCTGGTTGTTGATGAATGCGGTTAGGCTTGCCGCACACGAAACCAAACACCCGCCCGCCACCACGCCAGCGCACTGCAATGGTGAGCATCAGTGTGTGTGTGTGTGTGTGTGTGTGTGTGTGTGTTCTTCACTTTGTTTTGGCAGCCTTGCCGTCGATCTCTCACACACATCTCACTAGCTGCTCCTCGTGTTCACGTCCACTCACCCGCGCATGTGCATGTGTGTGTGTGTGCGTGTGTGTGCGTGCGTGTGTGCGTGTGTGCGTGTGTGTGTGTTCCCATGCCTGACACCGCCTCATCAGATCAACGGGCAGGAGGTCCAGATGCGGTATTGCTTCACGTGCCACCAATACCGCATGCCGCGCGACACGCACTGCGGCGTGACCGACGACTGTGTTGGTGAGTGCACAGTGCACACACACACACACACACACACACACACACACACACACACACACACACACACACACACACACCCACACACCCACCCACACACACACACACACTACACACACACACACACACACAACACACCAGCTAGGGGGGGGGGTATCCACACACCTCCCGTTCTGGCATTGAGCGCATCTCGCGCGTCGCGCAGATTGTATGTGCGTGCGCGCGCGCGTGTTGGTAACTCTCTCACATACTTGTGTCCTTCGGTTCTCTCACTGAGTGTGGGCGTGTGGGCGGTACCAACTCACTGTCCACCCCTACCCTCGCGCGGCTTGTGCC